AAACTAGGGGCCCAGTGCATGGATTCGTGCACCTTGAAAGGAACTGTGGGCCACGAGGCTGCGGTGGGCACAGGGGCGGGTCTCAGCCCATCCTCCATGCCCCCACCTGGCCCCTTCTGCTGTGGCCTCCTGTCCCCTGTCTGCTGGCAGTCCCGCTCCTGCCGCCACTCCCATGCGCTGACAGTGCGGAGCTATTGGGGCCAGTGCCAGCAGCGGGTGTGAGCCCCAAGCGTCCCTACGGAGCAGGGCGAGGTGGAGAAGCCCTCAGGGGCAATCAGGGCTGGCTGCTTGCACCCGCTGACAGCACCAAGTGATTGGGACCTGCTGGCAGCGGGTGCGAGTGGGGCTGGTGCCGGTAGCAGGTGTGAGTGCCGGGTGGGACTGTGGCGTGCAGGAGCAAAGAATTTTCAGTAACCACCAGAGGCTCACCCCGATGACAGTGACCAGCACCCTGCCTTAGTCTGGGGCCCCCGCTCTCCTGCTCCACCATCCCGCCATGGCCAACGCCTGCCATGTTCTGCATGCGCCCCCTGGTGGTCAGTGAACATCATAGCGACTGGTTGTTTGGTTGTTCAGTTGTTCTGCCATTTGGTCTATTTGCATATTAGCCTTTTATTATATAGGATATGCTTAGTACTGCTCTGATCCTGGAATGATTCCTCAATAACTCCTGCCCCTCCAACTCAAATCCCCCACCTCTCCAATCCTTATTGCTGCTCTCTTCTCCGAACTCTTTAAGCACTTGTGGTCAGTAGCCACATTGCTTTTCATTGGTTTTGGTTCCTTTTCTACTGTCTCTCCTACATAATGGATCCTTTTCTACTTCATACCTTCAACTACCTTCTACGAACTAAAAACTACTGTGTCTCTCTATCTTTAGCTCAAACTTCTCTCTTGAAATCCAAGCCTGTCTATCCAACCAGATGTCTCCCACCAAGCATCAGCCTACCTGCTAGCATCCGTATCTATCAACTCTGCCTCCCCTCTTCTCATTATAATGACTGTACATGACCCTCTAAGTTCATCATCTGTCCTTATACACTGGGTTCCCAAAGACATTATTCTAGCAATTCTTCTCTCCTAATCTTTACCATCAATTTATTTTTGTCTATTAGGTTATTATCATTAGCATACAATTATCTTGTTCTATCTTCTACCTTAAAAAATAAACAACTCTCTTGATCTGGCATCCCCTTCCATTTCCTGGACGATTCCTCTACTCCATTTTATACCAAAACTCCATTACAGGGTTGTGTATACTCTCTGTCTTAATTCCTTTCCTCCCATCAGGATTTTGACACCATGACTTCACCATCCTGTAAAGGTCACCAATGACCTCCATATTCTATACCCATTATTCAATTTTCAGTCTCATCTTAATTGACATGTTGACAGCATTTACATAGCTACTGCTGTCTCATTCTTGGGGTGCTTTCCTCCTTCACAGTCTCTTAGTGTTCATCTTTCCTGCTTGGTTTTAGTAGTTTCTTTTGTGTGTGGGGGTTTTTATCCCCTGGTTCCTTCTTATCACCCCTAACCTCTTAACATTGGTACATCCTGGAGCCGGATTCTTTGAAATGTTTTCCTATCTACCTCACTCCCTAGGTGATTTCATCCATTTCATGGTTATAAATACCACCTACATATTAATGACTCACAGATTTGTACCTCTAGGTCAGACTCTCCTCCTGAACTCCAGATTATTTCCAACAACAGTCTGTTCAAAATCCCTACTTGGATATATAAAGACAGATCAAATCAAAATAAACAAAACTGAACTTTTGACCTTCCCCTCCCAACACTCCCGCAGTTTTTTTAGATCTAAGTTAATTACTTATTTACTCTTCCAGCTTTTTATGTGAAAGCCCTTGATATTATCCTTACTTCTATCTTTGCCTTTCACTCTACACACAGTTTACTCAGGTGATCTTTAGCCTGTAAGTCTTTATGGCCTGGATTATTTCAATACCTCCTTGCTTGGTTTTTGAACCACTACTTCTACTTTTGCTCAACAGTCAGAGTGATCCTATTAAAATGTAAAATTAATTGTGTCACTGCTCAAAACTTTTCAATGGCATCCTACTTCACTTAGAATAAAAAGCCAAGTTCTTGCAATACCTACAAGACTCGCTATGATCCAGCCTCCTGTTACTTCTAACATGAACCCTTGAGATCGAGGATATAAGTGGCCACAAAGCCCATGTTCTCACAGAGGTGCACCCAAAGATCATGATTTCAGCTGCCCTCATGGAGTGAAGAACCTGGCAGGTCAGAGAAAGCCAGACAATGGGACTGCTGCTTTTTTACTGATGACTGGGTGAGAGGTCATGACAACGTGCCTGGGACCGTCACTATACTACCATTGAACGCTTCCACCTTTTGTTTATTAATTACATCATCAGGTTCACTCAAGATGATTTCAGTGCAGCAGGCTGGGCCATGCTCACCATATTCATCAATAAAAGAAAAGACAGATAAATATTGTTTTATCCATTGTATCAGGCAATGTGCAACCAGAAAAATAGAATCCACGCTGATTATTTTAAGAGAATTTAATATTGGGTTTTGGTTACACAGGTATTTGATGAATGAAAGACAAAAAAAAAAAAAAAAGGAACACTGGGATAACACAGCAGCTACAGAAAGCAGCTACCATTTCTGGTATTTGTAAACAAAAGGAAGAGGAGGGTGTTAGGAGCTAGCTTTCCAGAGGACCCTGGGGAGCTAAGGCTCAGCCCCCTGAGGAGAGGGCCCTCTCCAGCTGGTGCTGATGAACCAAGTCCTCAGAAGAGGCCCCATGTAGCTGGGACTCAAATCTCTTGAGGAGGCACGTGCTGGTGCTGGTATGTTTGAAGGAGGACAATGACTTTGGGTGTGAGAGTATGGGAAAAAGGGAAAACTAGAACCAAGTGCTCCTGGAACAAACTAGTGCTATCAGGTACAATAACTGCTGAGGAGACAACACTGATAGGTGAGCAAACAGAAAGGAGTAAGCCTCTTCTCTCTTCTTCCAATCTTACATATTCCTCTAACGCTCCCCTATTGGAGAACTGACAGGGAGTCATCTGGCAAAGAAGTATGTTTGTCTAAACTCAGCACCAGAATCACAAAGAATATGGAAGGGTAGGTTGGCTTCTTAATAGCTTAATAACTGACACATTCATATAATTGTACATCACATAGCAGTGAAAATGCATGAAATAGAGCAATGCTTATTTACATGGATTAAGTTTGCAATGTTCAATATAAAAATAAGAACTATACAGAATGTTATGTATAATTTGATACCATATATATACACACAAAAACAAAATAGTAATAAGTAGGGCTATGTACATATGTAATAAACTACCAAGACATCCTGGGAATGATCTAGAAAAATATTGGGATGTTGATTTCCTCTGGTGGAAGAAAACAGGGAAAGGAGGAGAATGTGATCAGAGGACGATACAAAAGATGCCACTCTATTCATAACTGTTATTGCACAACTGAGCAGTGGGTACATAGATGACTAATATGCAATCCTTTACACATATCTGTATGTGGGAAACATTTTCATAATAATTAAAAATTAATTTTGAATATGCATTTGTTTTTTAATAAGTGCTGTTTCATAAGGAAACTCCATAGGGCTTTGCAATTTCTAAGCCCTAGGCAGGCTCTCTCTTTGAGCCCAGCATGGCTTGCCTCCTCTCTTTTTCCTCCACTTGACATTGTCTTCTATGGAGCAACTGCCACCCACTGTTTTTTAGGTTCATTGCCTACTACATTTTATTTTTTTATTTTTAAAAATATATATTTCTTTATTGATTTCAGAAAGGAAAGGAGAAGGAGAGAGAGATAGAAACATCAATGATGAGAGAGAATCATTATGGGCTGCCTCCTGCATGCCCCCCACTGGGGATCAAGCCCGTAACCCAGGCATGTGTCCTTGGCCAGAATCGAACCTGGGACCCTTCAGTCTGCAGGCTGATGCTCTATCCACTGAGCCAAGCCGGCTAGGGCTGCCTACTGCATTTTAATAGAAGATTCAAGTTTAATCTATAAGGAGTATATATACAATATATAAAAACAAAGCATAAATGCCTCAATTGTGATATTTTAATGTGCAACTACTAGGCTTAAAATAATTTTGGAGACACAAAATCTAAAAAATTCTGAAAGTTTATTTTCTTAATTTTAAGAATATTTGCATTAAATGATACCT